ACCAGGGGGAATCCATTAAGGACAGGCCAAAAGCGAGGGGTCCCCGGCGGGGCGGCTGCTGCCGGCGCCGCTGCCTCGCACGCCCTCCCCACGGCGGGCTCCTGCCGCCTGCCCGGACCCCCACCGTCCCCCCCACATGGGGCCGAAAGTGGGTACAGCTACCGAAGCACCTAACAAAGGAGCACGCCACCGATGTGGGGCGAGGGCAGCCCAGCCCCGCTGCACCGGGGCCATCTGTCACATCCCCGGGGTGGCGGCGAGGCCAGGAGCGATGCTGCAGCCCTGGGATTTGTGGGGTTGGGATGGGAGAGCACTGGCAGAGCCCGTCCCTGCCAGAGGCTCCACCATCAGCTGGCTCCGAGCATCCCTCATCACCCATCGAGCATCAGCATCCCCATATTCCTGCCCTTTACGAGGCTTGGGGTGGATTAGCTCTTATTTCCGCCCCTGCCTGCTGAATATCTGGGACAGGGACACACTCCTCAGCCACCCAGGAGAGGGACACCCCTGCGACGGCGTATTTAACACAGGTCTGAGCCCCAGGATGGTCCCGGCAGCTGCCCTTACCTGGCAGCCCAGGTGATGGGGATGCGGTGGGTGGCGTAGACGGTGAAGGAGAGCGGGCAGGAGAGCAGGCGAGCCTCCTGCGCCACGCCGTGCTCCCGGCTCCCGTGCACCGCCGTCTGGAAGTCGGCGTTGAATGTGCTGCAGTAGAGCTCAACCAGGTCGAGGATGGCGGCCGTCAGGCTCTCCACGATCCTCTCTGAAGGGGAGGTGGGAGAGGGGTGAGTCGGGGCGGCTGCTGTCCCTGCTGTCCCCCGTGGCGTCCCTCTGGGCTGGGGTCGGGACACTGGAGGGACACCAGGGCTGGACCACGGGCACGTCTCCTCCAGGACAGAGCGGGGAGAGGGAGAATTTTAGGCTTCCCATTTTGCTGAGTTCATGGGGAGGAACAACAGCCATCGCCTCCAGAAACCCGCTTTTCTCAACCAGAACAGATTCAAACACATTTTTGGCCTTAATAATTGAGGGGGAGGGGTTTTTGAAGATTAAAAGCACCGAGAACTTGAGCCCAGAAGGGGAGGAGAAGAACAGAAATACCTCGATTTTCCCTCTTGGCCAGAACATTTGGATCCTGTTGAGGAAAAAAAGAAAGAAACCACAAGAGCAACATCAGAATCAGCCCCGCGCTGGCGGGGAGCTCCCTTGGCACAAATGAATGCACATTTACTTCCATCTCTGATGTGCCTTTCCCAGTCTGCGTGGGAATTGACAGTCTCATAAACCTGTCTTGTTTCTGCCCCAAAGTTCAATGCCTTGGTCCTCCCAGAAAAAGAATCACAGAGAAGCTGGTGGAAATAAGTGAGAAAGGGTACATCAGTATGAGTTTTTGATTGTCTAGCTCTGTGTTCTCTGAAGTTATTCAGTCAGATCTTAAAAGAAAAAAACGGCTTTCATGGTCATAACTGAATTTTAACAAACTCATCATACTGAAAATTTGGCAACATGCTTTCCATTAAAGTGAACAGGTGATATATCCTTATTCAGTTGCTGGAAAGTACATGCAATTAAGTATTCCAGAAAGATTTACAATGATTGCATAAGGTGTAATTCTCAGTAGGAACATAAAGACATTGAAAAGATGTTAAAGCACTGATTGTCTAAATATACTGAGTAAATGGCATTTGAATGAACACTTATTGAGTGCCAGGGACACTGTTTACTTCTGGTATGTTTTATCACATTTTCTAGTATTCTCTCTGTAGGGGGAGATATCAGCAAATTCTTTTATCTAAACCAGTTAGTGCACCATTAGAGTCTGCATGGTTAATTAGGCAGATAATATTACTGTCATTATCTTAATGTTAAATGGCCATTAGAAACAGATGGCATTAAATTGAAAGGGCAAGTGGCAGTGGGTTAAAATATTAAGTCTAGAACTGAGGCACAGTCATATAAGTCCATTAGCAAGGTAAAAAAAAATTGCAGATTATTTTCTCTTAAAATTTCCACCGCCATCACTGCCTTCTTTCAACTGAACTAATCCCTTTTAATCAGAGCTTTTAATATATTTCATGGGTAATTGCATAATAAAATCATTGAGATTACTCTTGTTAGCAAAAAAAAAACGAAAAAACCTCCTGACACTGATAGGCAATTATAATACTGCAAAAGTATTGACACGAAGAAGTACTAATGTTTCTAAATTTCTGTAATTTCTTTGACTTAGAGCTTTATATGTATTTGAACAGTAGATAGCACAGGCAAAGTGTGTTTACATAATGTATGCTTTCATTCCTTGCTGTCTGTTTTGGCAGACGTATCACCCTATAAAAATAAGGATGTATATATCGTGAATGTCAGTTACAGCAATGGTTTTCTGAATTCAGTATTGGGGAGAATTTCACTTGAAACTGATCTCCAATTGGTGAGTCAACATATATAGGAAAATACTCCCTTTTGCACACTTTTGCACTGCATGTTACTACATACCTGCTATTCCCACTTCAGTGAATCTGACTGTATGCAAAGGGGTAGAAAAAGGCCACTGCAAGTACCGTTCAAATGCCTTGTGCATGGTCATAATTTCCATCCATTAGTACAAAGGGAATCTGCCCAGACGCCAAAGCCGGCCGCTTTACGTCAGCAGCCCGGGCTCCTCGGCCGCGGGAGCGGGCAGCCCGGCCAGGCAGCTGCCTGCTCCCAGCTATTGAGGAATTTTCCACGTGGTACGGTGGGAGGAAGGAGGGGAAAAACGTCCGATGTGAAAATGGGCTTCCCCCCCTCTGCGCCTCCCGGCTGAGCCCCCCTGCCCGGTCCAGCACCCCACTGGGACCGGCTCCCCCTCCCCTCCTCGGCGCCCATCACCCACCTTCTGGATTTTGGGCTGCATGCGGGAGGGACAGGGGGGCATCTGGTTGAGGGCTGCCGTGATCTCCTGGGACTCCACGGCAGCCAGGGCGTTGCAGATGGCCATGACCGACTGGATCACCCGTTCGGCCTTCAGCGGGAAGTCTCCCTGGAGGGCAGAGGGGGGGCTGAGGGGGACCCCCGGGGCAGCCAAGGGGGCAGGGGCTGCTCCCCGCAGCCCACACGCCACGTACGAGGAGGTGCCCCAGCCT